TATATTTGAGCAAATAAATACAGCAATGTAGTTATTTCGAGATCACAAGAAAATTAAGTCAAAAGACTCCTGAAAAAAAAAATGAAATAATAATATATGGCTTCTTTCTAAGTCTGTATCACCTTGTAAATGCATTAGTGTTAGTGTCTGCACAACAGTGAACATGCTTTCACAGCTTGGGCAATATAATGCCATGCCAAGAAGCAAGAAGTTGCAGGTACATGCATTTCTCTTTGCTCTGTTACCTTCATTCCACGCTTTTGGCAAGTTCAGTTCATGTACTGTATTATCAACAACTTGGAGCTGTATTTTGTCTCAACTCTTTCTCATTCAGTCTATGAAGTATGTAAGGATAAATAGGATACGTTTGGGGAAAAAATATGTACTTAGCATAGAATCGAAGTGTAATCAGAAACATTACTGTATCTGTTTTCTTAATCTTTCTTCTGTGTGAGCTATGCGAGATAAGTGTTTGTTTCAGGTCAATTGTATGTTTCCACCATTGTCAATGTCAATGTAGATGATTACAAATGATTAGAGTGGTAATATTAACACATAATAATAATGACGCTGTGCCAGTGAAGATATGTATTTATTTATTTAGATAAAAAATGCATATAATAATAGCTATATAATTATCTCTCTAAACATATCTGTGTATATTTATAACTTAAATTGTGTACAGATAATTGAACAAAGCATGTTGCAATATAGATGAAAAAATAAATTGATAGAAGTAGATTATAGATAAATCATGAAATAATTTTTTTTTTTTTTTTAAACCTGTTGAAATGACCTCAGTGACACAAAGATTTTGGTTTCAATGGTGCCTGTTTTTAACTGTCTGCATTATATTTTAAACAGAAATGTTTAGTCCAACATCTCCCTGTCTGCTTTGAAACTTCTGTGAGTTTTTTTCCGCTGATGCTGTCCATGTAGTGTGAGCATAAGTGAAGCAACCTCTGATCAGCAGAATCCCTTTAAAGGTCTCTTTCACAGCGATTGTAATGTGTGAATCAATCAGAGAGATGTATCAAGTGAGGAAAGTGTAGTTTGGTTGTTCCATGATGCATTAAAGTGATGTTTATTACTTGGCTTCTCCCTTTTAGTATGCTTTTTAATTAAGAATGTTTTATAGAATCTTCTTATGCCTTCATATTTCATATACCTGCTGCGCTTTGGTGCAGATTGGACATCAGTAACATCCAACAACATTAGATCATTAAAAAATGTTGAGTGAACAATCCCTCTGTTATTCATTTGAAATATTTGTTTAAACCATTTAGCAATTTCAGTGATAACCCTGGCAATACACTAATTAAATCACACACAAAAAAAAATGATTCAGGCTTGTTTGTGTAAAAATGTTCCCTCTGCAGGCTTTAAGAGGGAGATAATTACTCTGAGGGTTAGAAGAGGGTCAATTAATTACTCTCTTCATCAACAGGGGAACAGCTTAACCCCTAATGTCCCCATGAGTCCTGGGTCAGGCACAAAGACATCCATCTAGCACATAGAAAAGCATAGGTAAACAATGGAAAAGCACAGTGGAATAGAAAAACATGTTTTGTGTGAACAGCCCCTAATATTTTCTAAATATTATGAATAATAATATTTTCTAAATATTAATATTTTGGCCCTAACATTTTCTAAATATCGAGGTGTCTTCTAAATAATTAAGCATAATTAATGACAATTATGACAATTTATTTTAAGTGTAATGTAGTAAATTCCTCCTCTTGTCATTCCAATTCAGTTTCCAATACAACATCCATGAAACTCCAGATCGGCTAATAAATTGAAAAGACAGTAGTTTTTAACATTCTGAATTTTTGGTGAAAATTTGTGGATAAGAACAGACATTTTGGTCACTAATTGGCACAGCACATGAACTAAAGAGAAAAGCAGAAAAGGTCATCTGCCTAGCTGAGGTTAAGCTCTTTCTGTCTTTTGAAGCTCTGCAGTCAACAGAGGCTTAAATGCCTTCTCTTTTAGAATCTCACCTTCTAGGTCACTGACAGATAAATGTGCAAAGACAGACACTGACAGTGTTTGGGATTCCAGATCAAGACTCAGGAGTCATTATATGGACACACATTCCTGTCTCAAGGTCTGCGAGAAATTAAAAATATCCTTTCTATCAAAAATAAGAGACATCTTCTGACTTCTTCAAATTCTGGGGTCTCCAGCAAAAGTACCCTATTTGAAAAGAAGGAAATAATGTCTCTGAACATTAATGGCCAGATAATTGAGTGGGGACCTCTGTTTTCCTTCAAAAACATTTGTGAACAAAGTGTTCGGTCTAGTTCAGTTTGGCCATATACTGCAGCTCACAATCTACACTAAAAAAAAAAGTTCTTTATTGGATTCAATGATTCCATGAAGAACGTTTAACATTCATGGAAGCTTTCCATTAGACAAAAGGTTCTTTATAAAAAGACTCTTTAGATTATTAAAATGTTTGCCACAGAAACAAATGCTTCTTTTAAGAACTGGTCACTGAAAGGTTCTTTGGGAAAATATATACATACATACGTGTGTGTGTGTGCGCGCGCGTTTTTGTGACAAATGAGGACATAAATTTGTATAATGACAAGGGTATGACATAGGTTACAAGGAGAAGGTGACTTTTCAGGACATTACCCCATGTCCCCACTTTTCAAAACG